TAATTTTTTTTTTTTTTTTTTTTTTTTTTTTTCAAAAGGATGCAGTTCAATGTTGGATAGTTTCTTCTTCATTTGCTTTTTTTGAGATAAGGTTGTTTTTTCTTGTGGCTTGTGGGAGTTTGTGCTATTTTGTTGGGCCTTTGAGAGAAGCAATAGAATTTTTAGAGGGGTTGGGGTTGAAGGTTCTGGGAGCAGGTTTTGGTCCTTGTGATGTTTCATGCCTCTTTTTAGGTTTCAATGTTTAAGAATTTTTGTATCATCCTTTAAAAGTTTTATTTGGTTAGATTGGAGCCCCTTTATGTTTTAGTTTGGCTTCTCTTGTGGGGCTGCCTCTTTGTATTCCCTTTGTGTTCTTCCAGTTTCCCTCAATGAAATTTGTTTTCTCATTAATAAAAAAGACTGATTTAGGAAAAGAAAGCTTATCTGGGTTGAGAACTATAGCAGCTTTTTAGAGTTAAAAGATTTGAGGATCAATGGGATAAGTGAGTAAAAACTTGTGTTCGAGATAATTTTCGATTTTTATCAATGAAAAGAAATTTCAAGGCTTAAGACTATGTGAATTGTTTTTGAATCTTTTTATTATTATTATTATTTTGTTAAGAAACTGTGTATTGTAGGAAAAAAGGAGGGAGAAATAGCCTAGGGGCAGGGGGGGATAGCCCTCGCCTAAAGCAATAAAACGAGAACTTTCTGGTCATTGATAATCATTAGAAGGTGGTCCTTTTTCACCCTTCATTTAATTGGAGATGCTAAAGAAAGGGGTTTAAAAAGTACTATAAAGATTCCCTTTACAGTTTGCAGATGATATTGTCTTTTTTTCATTTTTTGGCAAAAAGGATAAGTTGTTTTTATAACAACTTATCTAATGCATTCTTTTTCATTTTTTTTTTGGACCCACCTCCTGTTTGCAAGTAATGGAAAAGTTAGCCGTAAGTGGGAACATCTGTAAAGAATAAATGGAATAGTTGACTCTACGATTAGGTTGTAAATTTGAAGAGCTTCCTATGATGGGATGTTTCTTTGTTACTCTGTTTGTTGGGGGTTATGGTGTTTTGTCACTATAAGTATAGGGAAGTTTGCTTGTGGACTTCATCTCCTCTGAATGGGTCCTCTCTGTTTTGTGTGATTCTCCTCTCTTGCATTTTTCTTTTTGATGAAGGTGAGAATGTTCAAGGTCAACTTTTTTACTTGAGGCATTCTTCCTTGCTATTGGGCGTATATGTAAGAGTGCAAGTACCCACATTAGAATCTATTTAATTGGTTCTATCTTCTATATAGTTTGAATCAATAACTCCCTAGGAACATTTAGTTAGTGTTATAAAAGTGGTTAAATAACTCATCAAAAGATAATACCTATTACTTGGTTTTTCTAATCTTAGTTTCTTATGAATTACAGATAATGAAGTACCTGATATCATTAATTTTTCATGGAGTTCTGCTTGTATTGGTTTTTACTAATCTTTTTGGAGGGATAAGAATCTTTATATTCAAAGAAAGATATATTTTTAACTCTGTAGGACTGGTTACTCGAAGTAGTTTCCTATTTTCTTTTCAGCTCCCAAAGCTAACAGATGAGGTGTTATAACTTTAAGCTTGTTGTTTTCTGTTGACTTTATTATTTACAGGGTGACGAACTTCAAAGTATGGATGGCTTGTTGCAGTCTCTAGGATTGGGAAAATATTCCATTCTTTTTAAGGCTGAGGAAGTATGTTAAAATTTCCCTTTTTGAGCTACACATATCATTGGTTTTGCTTCATTTTAACACATGCCAACTTCTATCTTAATTTTTCAGTTGTTATAACTCGTAACTTCGGTGTCCACTATCGTATTTCTACCTTTTATGTGACACTTAGCATGCATGAATCATAAGATAAGGATATTATACCTGTAAAGGGTTCTACTATGATCTGATATGCCCAACTCTAGTTTTCTTATGGGCGATGTTTTGTATGTCTTGCTGATTCAAGCATCTCTTGGTCTTTTACCTTTATACAATTCATTTGTTTACTTAGCGGTGTTTAGCGATATGACTAAGAAATTACGAATTAGATTCATACTTTGGGAGCAAGCTTTCTATGTTGGAACTTGTGCTGCTGTGATAACTGATAACTGTTGCCTACGAATTTCTACGTCAAGGAGTTTGCTACATTGAAACTTGACTTAAAAGCTTCCCTAGGTTATTTTTGCCATTGCTTTTTGTTTGTGAATACTGCCCGGTGTTAGAGAAAGATTCAGACCTCTTGAGAAATCTATGAATTTTGTATTTGTCCTCTTTCGTATCTGGTTAATTTAATACAGAGCTCTCTTTACAAATTATCTATCCTCTCACATTATAATCCGATTTAAGAAATAATACTTTGCCCCTATTCAAAAGAAGAAATATTGTTGTCTCTCCCTCTCTCAAGATGTTCATAATGGCTTCCATAAAAGTAATGAGGTTTTCTTTATATGTCTGGTTGAGTCATTTATAAGATATTTGATCTGTGAATATAGCCTCAAATTTTTGTTTTCACCATCTTATATACAGATATCTCCTAATCAATTAGTTGTATAAGTGGAAGTTCAAATCTTCATATTTATCGACTTTAGTTGGTATTGATGGTCCAATAGTGACAAATCTTACTACCTATCTGTGGTTTATTGGATTTATTATGCAGGTTGATATGACTGCCTTGAAGCAAATGGGGGAGAATGACCTCAAAGAGCTTGGAATACCTATGGTACGTCAGTTGTTCCTGTTCTTCATCTTATGTCTAGGGTTTATATGTTTCCCTTTTATTATTGAGGTTTGGAGTCTTTGATTTCCTTGCTTTTTCAATGAGAGACAGGCACTCTCCTTGAAGAAAGAAACATATAATATAAAGCTTGGATGGTAAATTCAAACTTTAAAATATCTAACAATGCAAATAACTGAAAACATGGAGATGAGTTGTGAGAAAATATTTTAGACACAACCAGCTTCGTAGGAGTTTCACCTCTGCTTGGCTTAACCATCAGGGGTGCGATGAATTAGTAGTTAATTTTTTGAATTTTAGTTCTCATCGTTGTTCTTTTATTAAATTATAACTTTGGTCTTGGTATTTGAACTTTTAGAGTTGTATCTATTGATTTTATATATTTTGGTTGGTCCATCTTGTCCTCTATATTAACATCACTAAAAGACAATGTCAAATGATAATGATCTTAATTCTTACACACATTAGAATATTGTACCCTCTCTTGGGACTAACCGCTTACTTTGACCACTTCCTTACCTTTGGACTCTGGCCCTTTGACAAAGTTCTTATTGGTTAATGTGCACTTCATTAGGAGGCAAGGGTGGTAGAGCAACATTTTTTTTACCTTTGTGATTGGATGTGTACATATTAAGGTAACTAGGGGTGAGCATCACAGACCAAAAATCTGAGTCGACATACTAAAACTGATCGAACTGACTTCTGTTAGTGATTTAAAGGTATATATCGGTCGGCAAGCCTAATAAGGACTCAAACTGATCGACTATAGTAGAAATAATAATAATAATAATAATAATAAAAAAATGAAAACCAAAAGGTTGTATGCACGGTTGCACTGCTGCAACATTCAGCTTCTTGGATGGCTAGATCGTCTGGTCTTCCCGAGGTTATATTTCTTGAAAAAAAAAAAATTAACTAACTTTTAAAATTTTTCCTTTTACTTCTCACTATTTTTGTCTTTTCCATTTACCATTCTTCTCCAATTCTCCCTCTCTCTCCACCTCTCTCTTTTCTTCTTCTTTTCTTCTCCTTTCTCTATTCTTCTCGTCCTCCTTTCTTCTTCTTTTTTTTCCCCTTCTTTTCTTCTCCCTTTAGTACTCCTTTTTTTTTTTTTTTTTTTTTTTTTTTTTTTTTTTTTTTTTTTTTTTTTTTTTTTTTTT